CGGGACTCTGGGATCATGACCTGAGCTGAAGGCAGACGCTTAACCGACTGAGCCACCCAGGCATCCCGAAGGGAAATAATTTTAACAAATACAATAAATAGCAGAAGTATAGAAACAGCAGTTAACTTTAGACCTTTTTTTTAAAAATTTTTTATTATGTTCAGTTAGCCACCATATAACTTTAGACCGTCTTAAGACAAGTATGTTAAAGACTTTAAAGGTGACAATAAAAAAGAGAAAAAGAAAAAGAACAATTTCTAAAAGAGTAGAAGAGAGAAAAATAATACAATAAGTTAAGCCAATGCAATAGAAGGCAGACAAGGAGAACAATGACAACAATAAAAGCAAACATGGTGCAGAGGAGGGAAGCAATAGAAAACATAGCATATGGGAAACTTAATGTATCTACAATAGTAGAAATAAGGTGAGTAGATTATTTTGACTTGTTAAAAAATGGAGGTTCTTATACCTAAAAACAAAAAAAAAGGACAAAAAGAACAGCTTTAACCTATCTATAAGAGGTACCTAAAACATAAAAACATAAGCATTGAATGTACAGGTATGGAAAATAATTTGCAGAAAAAATATTGAAGAAAGTTGGTTTTGCTGGTATATCAGAATCTGTTACCATCTATTATTAATCAAATATCAATTAATGCAGATTCTGAGGCAAAAAAAACCTTTTTAGAAAAAGTCACAATCAAATGATAAAAAGAATGGTTTATAGGAAAATGTAACATCTTGAATCTTTTTTTTTTAAGATTTTTTATTTATTTATTTGAGAGAGAGAATGAGAGACAGAGAGCACGAGAGGGGAGAGGGTCAGAGGGAGAAGCAGACCCCCCGCTGAGCAGGGAGCCCGACGTGGGACTCGATCCCGGGACGCCAGGATCATGACCTGAGCCGAAGGCAGTCGCTTAACCAACTGAGCCACCCAGGCGCCCACATCTTGAATCTTTTTGTATCTAAATGTACCACCTCAAAATATATAAAGTGGAAAGACTAAAGAATTAGAAATTGAGAAACTGATAGATCAAGTAAAAATCACTAAAGATATAGAAGATTAGGACAACATAATCAATAAACTTGCAGACTCTTCTGCCCAATAACTGGAGAGTACAGATTCTTTCAAATGAGGATAAAACACTCATGAAAACTGCACAGCATGAAATGATAAAATAATTTCCCCAAAATATCAAACAATCCATTTTGTAAAGATCTCCATTTCTGAACAAAATTAGAAATCTTTAAGAAAAAGATGGTCCCAAAGTACTCGGTGTTTGAAAAATGAAGCTAAATAGCTTGTGGCTAAAGAAATCGTAATTGGAAATTGTATAAGATTGATAAAGGAATGACAATGAAAATAGTTTGGTGCTAAAACAGAACCAAGGGTGACATTTAAGGTCTTTAATGTATATACCAGAAAAACTGAAAATTAGTGAGCTAAAATTTCATTTCAAGATGTTGGAAAAAGTACAACAGAATAAGCCACAGAAATTAATAAAATAGAAAACAGAAACAGAAAGAAGGATCCCCAAAAGCCAAAAGCTGAGTTGAAAAGGCAGGGATATTTTACAAAAGGAGTTGAATGATGCCAATGCACAGTGACTGATAAATACAAGCTCGGGTAACTGAGAGGAGAGCCTCTTGAGCCATCATTTCAGTTGTCTGCATTTACACAGAGTAGTTCATTTTTGCTAGCTCAAGTCCCTGGCATTTTTCTTAAAAAATTTTTTATTGTTATGTTAATCACCATACATTACATCATTAGTTTTTGATATAGTGTTCCATGATTCATTGTTTGTGAATAAC